GCTCTTAGTAGGGAGGTCGGGCTCCTCGTAGGGAGGTCGGGCTCCTCGTAGGGAGGTCGGGCTCCTCATAGGGAGTTCGGKCTCCTCGAAGGGAGTTCAGACTGCTGGTTTCTTCCCTTTGGTGCTTGCGCCCTGGGTACGCTGTTTTAAGTGCCGAGCTATTTATTTTGACACGTGGAGTGATTGCGAGGTCGGACCAAATCTTCCTTCATCACAATCCATCCATATTGATTTGGGACTGGATGGGGTCCAATCCAAAACCGGTCCATTAACACCCTTAAGTGGAACATGCCTCAAACCCACCCCCCTACGCATATTTTAGCTGGAAGGCCAGTAAGTTAAGACTTAAGAGTGTATTATAAATGTAGGCTGACATCTCTAAGCTTAATACTGCTAGCTATCCTATTGAGAAAAGTAGTGGAGTAATCACTTTCTGCACCATTGCTTTTTCATACTGAATACAACTCTGGCGCTGGGCGCAATTGTCTGCACTCTGTTGTGTTTGGTCCAAACTCCACACTCCAAACCGCATTGTATTAGAATTTATTTTCGTTCTGGGATTGAATCCCACCTTCCCAATCCCAAGATTGGGAGAGATTGTGGGTTTGGGCCTTGGGGAGTTGGGGGTTGGGCTAACCCACTTTAACCCAATTGTAAACTTGCAATTGATCCATAAACTTAACCCAATGAGTTAAAGACTCGACCCTCAGTCCTCACCCAAACCCAACCCAATATTCTCGACACTGATTTAATCCAACCATGCAATTGGGTTGGCTGGTTGGAGCATTAGCAACCAAATTAACAATTGGTATCCACATGAACAAACAATGATCTCCAGTTCTCCACCATTTGTAAGAGATGACCCTCCTCCTCCTCCTCCTCCAATCTCCGTTGTAAGAGAGGGACCTTCACCAACACCAAACATAAGCATGTGATGAACAGGAGTTTTTGGGCGCCTACAATCCATTTTTTGGATGAAGTGGGGACGCATCTCATCTCTGTATTAAAATCTAACTATAATAAATAGGGTGTAATCTATCTTCTGACCGAGTGGTAATGGTTTAAGAAAGAAGAGGAAGAAGAAAACAGAAGCCATCAAATCTCAACATGGGAGTTTGGGGTGGCTCCCAAGAGAAGATAGTGTCTGTTGTATCAAGCATCAAATGATAGAGATCTAGGTGTTGATCAATGTCTATGCCATAGGACCTACCTCCTCCTCCTGTCTTATTGTTATAGATCTTCACTGTTGAGCACCAGATTACCCCATTTCTTCCCACATTAATAAATACTTGTTTTTGGTTCCCAACGTCAATGGTTGTACGGTAAGGGGCTTTTTTATTTTTTCCGACATTAATATTTAATTCATAATTCATAAAGGAGAGCAGCCAGGTTGGTAGTTGTTACTTGGTATTCCCATCATCAACCTTTTTTCTTTTTTTTTTTTTTTTGACTAATATATAATGTGTGGAATCTACTTGAGAATCCCCAATGTGTGGAATCATAATGTGTTTTATCATTCAAATCCATTTCACCTAAGCTGGGCTGCAAATGGTATCAGTTTATCTAACAACAGGCATTGTGTCTTCACGACACACAATGGTATATTAGTATATATAATGGAAATGTCAGTAGACATTTACGCAAGCTAAATCCAAGGACCTAAGCTCATTTGGATCTTTTCGAGTTCCTCTTGTAAGTTGTAACAAAACAAGGTCATTCATTTATCTATTAAGTACAGTATTCTTTTCCCTTTTTTTTCTGCAGAAAGGCGTCCATTTTTACATGGACAGAGCTCCTCAGCAAGCAGTTTTTTTTTTCAACTTTTTATATATAAAAAATCACATGCATGGTTCACGACAAAATTCCATTATAAGTTTACGGATAAACCTGAAAAGCCAACGCGACCAAAAATGAATACGAGTTTTATCGCATGATGGACCCAATTCCAGCTGAGGAAATTTATGGGAAAGGCTTTCCCCAATCCCCAGTGATTTGTGTAGTATGCGACCAAAAGAGCCAATGAACAACACATGCTTGATATACCTCTCAAAGAAGCTCCTTCCACTCTTGAGAGATACCAATCTGATCCAAGAAGTGCACCAACGTCACAATAAGCCCGCCTCCAAAAGGTTTCTCCTTCTCAGAGTCTCATCCACGAGTTTGAAAGTTTTTCTGACAAGCTTCTGATCAAGGGCACTGGTCCTATAGATCTTGAATATCCGATCAACGCGATCTGGAGCAGTGCTCTGGAAGTATAGCTCCTCAAATTTCTTCTTCACGAACCTAACAATCAGATTTCATCAGACATTTGTCGTACAATACAAGTCAACCTATTCATTAATGCAAACAAGAGATACATGAAAAGGAAAAAGGACACTAGAACCAGAACCCAGTGCAGAGATGAATGTATAGTGCCAGAAGCGGAGGATGAAACAAGTCTCTCTGGTAAACTGGTTCGTGATTGCCTACACAAAATACCTATCCAACCTCAATGATACTGAACATCAACCCAGAAAGCTGGCTAGGCACGCGGGTTGGACACTCAACTGGGCAGTTCGTCTAGTGAAATGATCAAAATCATCAAAACCCATTTACCCAGTCAGCTATCCAGGTCACCAATTCAGATGCCTGGGTCAGGTTCAAAATATTCTTTAATCTAATATTCATTCTGGCATTTAGATATCGGATTCAGAGCAAAGGATCCAGAAGAGGTTCAGCAATCAAAAGGAACATTTATCCAATCAAAACAACCTTCTTAGCAGCTTCTCAAGTTATGAGTCATCAGGATTCAGGATGGAGAACACTGATGAATCCAGAGAGCACTTACTCGTATGCATGCTCAATCTCTTGTTTTCCTGCATACACTGGTTGGTAATCCTTGAACCACTCACAAACGTTTAGTGGCACCTGCATGCATACCACAGAACATTAGAGAAAAAGTGCATGCTGATTTTACCATCCACTAGCAGTTGTTTAAGGCTAGGTTCTTTTTTCTTGGGGAGAGAGTGGGATTCACCTTTAGAACCTTCTTCTCAAATATATCAAATTTGTTCAGGAAGAGCATGAAAGACGTTTTCTGCAGAACATAATTATATTTCTATTAAGAAAAAGAATTACAGATATCAAGAAAGCAAAGGCTCTCTGCAGAGGCACCATTTACAAAACCTCAAAACATGGTTGTTTTAGAACCCAGTCAAAGAGTTCCCTGGTCTCCATCATTCGATTCTTGCTTTCATCCTCAAACAGCATCTGATCATACCTGGATCAAGCATTAGTGGATCAATATTTGTGGAGTTTAATAAACAAATACATCCTCCACAAAAGATGATACTGACTTGATCTTCAAGTCCAGCCAGGGAGTTAACTGGTAAAGAGGTAAAGCCACTCCATCTCTAATAAGCAGATCCAGTGTTCATCACCTGGGTGGAGAGAAACGGGGCCCACATCCTCTCAATTCCCACTATGAAAAGGGGAATTTCCAAACATTACTTTTTTTGGAGGGGTGTTTGGGATGATCCATTCCAGCTCTTGGCACCACCCCTGAGTAGGAAGATGGTATTTTTCAGGTCTAACTATTTTCTATAATCAAGGACATAGTGTAGTCAGCTCTTTTTTTTTTTTTTTTTTTGGGGGGGGGGCGGGGCTCCTACACCCTGCAATTTATCAGTAAGGCTACCTTGATTTGTTTTCCAGTCTACGAATAATTTCTCTTTGGTTGGGGTCAATGTTAATAATGTATACATATCAAAGATGTTGATAATCTACAGAGGAAATGTCAGCTCAATGGATGCAACTTTTGTTTGCCAACCAACCATCCCTACCCTGGCTTTTGAGTGAAGACAACAAATATTTGGAATGACTAATAACCAACTATATTCCATTTAACAATACTATAAGTTTCTCCTCTCTGGAAACTAAGAGAGAAAAAAGAGTTGAAAAACAAAAATAGATGACTTAAAGCAACCAAATATAGTATTGTTTACCAGCTCTCCACCAAAGCTGGATATATAAACATCTCTGGTGCCATTAAGCATGGCAAATAAAGTTAGCATAACCATGGAGGAAACCATCTTTCAATACCAACTGAAAGAGACTGCTTAAGCATTATGTGTTCAACTTCAACCCATCTTAAATCAGGAAACGTTAATCAAACAAGTGATAAGCTTACTCGCTAATAGCAGCGCAAAAAATTACTGCTGTAACACCTTCAAATAGATGTATCCACTTTCTTCTCTCATTTCTCTGACCTCCAACATCAAAAAGTCTATAAACTTCACCACTTTTCTTATTCTCTCCAACAGGGCTGCATAATTTGGCATTCTACAGATTAGTACCAGTAGATCCAAGCAGAAATGGATACTTGCTGCAACTAAAGATACACCATTGCACAATACTACCACACATGGAAATTATATCGAAGATATACATCTTTATGAAGGTATCCTAGTCTTTCTCATAGGACTCATTTGGTTTCAAGGTGTAGAGAACACTAAGGTGGTCCCCACTGTTCGTATGTCAGCAATAAGTTATGATTAAGATTAGTTCTTTAAGATAAGATTAGAACTAGTCTTTTATAAGATTAAGACTAATCTTTTATAAGATTAGGATTAGTCTTGTTTCAGCTTTATCTTATCTTATCTTGCCATATAAGCAATTCAGTCCTTTTACAAGTATGATACTATGTATATAAATTTAAGAGGGGGGCGGCTGTTTTAAATCAACAACCCAACTCTCTTTTATCAAAATCTCTCTCTCTCTCTCTCTCTCTTCTTTTCTTATTTTTTCTTCTCCTTTTTAAGTGTCTGTTCAATCTTGAGTGACTACTTGGTATCAGAGCATTCGATCTAGGGTTTCTCATGTGGAATTAATTCAGCCGACCACATGAGAATTATTTAGGGCTCAGTTTTTCATTCAACTAATTCTTGGAGATTACAAGAAGTCTTCAGCAACTGTCCAAGGATTGGAAAGTGCTTTTTGTAATCAGGAAGAATTAGAGAAAAATTAAGTGATCAAGGTTAGGTCTTTGATCAAGATTGGAGGTGCCAATCAGATTTTTTGGTTCTCTCATCAAGACTGAAGTTGGCAATCAAGAAGATTTTTCTCTGAGATCAGTTATGTTTCAGAAGTTTCTCGGGTTGATCAGAATCAATATCAGTTTTGAGCAAACTTAAGTTGGCGATCAGAATTTCAGGAAGATTTTTTAATCAATATCAGGTTTTTTCAGAAATTCTTGGGTAAGGTCTTATTCCTTCTTGAGGGCAGCAGCAAGGATAGCTTAATTTGTGAGGTATGGCTATATAGAATTTTTTCTTTTTCTCTTCTAGGGTTTTAAGAGAAAACCCTGAAATCCAGGGCTGTTACTGTGTCTGGATAAGAGATTAGACTTGTTTTTAAGTTTGGCTGCTATCAGATTTCTGTTCTCTGATCTCTGTTTTTTGAGTTTTGTACCTAGGCCAACTGCTATTAGTTCTCAGATTTAGTAGGTTGATTGATACAGTGATACAGTGAATTGGAAATTTTTTCTTTCTCTGAATTTGATTTCTGCCTCTAGACCTATTGTCGTTAGTTTTCAGACCCAGTARGCTGATTGTTATAGTAAATAGAAGGTGTTTTTTGCTTAACCCCTAACCAAGAATGGAGTTCAAGCACCAAGGGGAAGGTGTTTTGGGGACTAGTTCAGGTGGCATGACTGAAAACACCTTCCAGATTACAACTGTAAAGTTTGATGGTTCAAACTACTTAGAGTGGGCCCAATCAGCTATGATGGCTATTGGGGGAAGAGGAAAGCTGAACTATTTGTTGAGAGATGTAAGGAACCAAATAAGGAGGATCCCACTTATGCTAAGTGGATTCAGGAAAATTATTTGGTGATGACATGACTGTGCAATTCCATGCAGCCACACATCAGCCGAAATTACTTATGGGCAAARACARCYAAAGAAATATGGGATGTTGTGAAAGAAACCTACTCTCAGCCCCTTAATGTTGCTAAGGCTTATGAGCTGAAATGTGAGGTTAAAAATCTCAAGCAAGGTGARAAACAAGTTTCTGTTTATTTTTCAATMTTGAAATCCYTGTGGCATGAAATTGACCACCTTGAATCAATTGAATGGGAAAGTCAGAAGGATGCACAGATTTACAGAAAGCAAATTGAAACTAATAGAGTGTTTGAGTTCCTAGTTGGTCTAAATTCGGAATATGATATTGTGAGGCAGCAATTGTTGACAAGAGACAGTGTAACTCTGTCTCAGGCCTATTCCTTAGTGCACAACAAAGAGACTAGGAGAAAAGTTATGCTACAACAACAGCCTTTTGAATCAGCTCTAGCAGCAGTTAGGCCCAAATCTGGGGGTGATAAGGAAAGAGGCATGAAGAAGGAAGCTAAGAAGGACCTAGTATGTGAGCATTCCGCGAAACCTAAACATACTAAAGAGACACCTGTTGGAAGTTGCATCCACATCTAGTTCCAGCAAAACTCAGAAACAAAAAGGGGAATGCAAATATGGTTGTTAACACTGATAGTACAACCTCATCTAGCACAAGAGGCAATCCTCTAGACACTTCAGCTGCTGTCCGAGCTGCTCTAATTCAGCTGGAAAATGAAGTTGGTAATTCAGCTCCACCTCCTCAGACACCATCAACACCCCCTTCCTCAACTTTTGCTCATTCAAGTAATTGGACCTCAGCTTACCATGCCTTAGCTACAGGTAATACAGAACATTCATAGATAATAGATTCTAGAGCATCTGACCATATGACTGGCATGTCGTCACTATTTACTATTTATCACCTATCTTCAGGCAGAGACAGTGTCCATTGCTGATGGCTCCCTCATTCCTATTTCTGACAAGGGAGATATCAAGTCGTCTAATGCTATTTCCTTATCTTCGGTTTTGCATGTTCCTAAGCTTAGTACTAACTTGCTTTCAGTTAATAGCATTACAAAAAACCAGAATTGTTCAGTAACCTTTTTTTTCGGATCGATGTTTTTTCAAGATCTGGAGACAAGGAAGGTGATTGGGACTGGGCGTGAGGCAAATGGAGTCTATCTGCTTGGAGGGAGTCTTCATTGGGAAGATAGTGAGACTAAGAGGTCTTGTGTTTGTTAGTCTGTTGATCAGGCTATGCTTTGGCATAATAGGATGGGTCAATTATCTTTTCGGGCTTTGAAGAGTTTGTTTCCTAGTTTATTTGAACCTATCCAGATATCTAGTTTGAAATGTGAGAGTTGTGAACTTGCAAAACACTACAGGACAACCTATTCATTCATTAAGTAATAATATAAGTAATGTTCCCTTTGAAATTGTGCATACTGATGTTTGGGGACCTTACCATACCACTGCC